CCTGGCCTTGGACACTTCCAGGGATCCAGGGGCAGCCACAGCTTCTCTGGGCAACCTGTGCCAGGGCCTCCCCACCCTCACAGCCAGGAATTCCTTCCCAATATCCCATCTAAATCTTCTCTTTTAGTTTGGAGCCATTCCCTGTGTCCTGTCTCTCCATCCCTTGTCCCACATCCCTCTCCAGCTCTCCTGTAAGACCCAAATATTTTGGACTTTGGCATTCTGCCACTGCTTTCTCAGGGCACAGACACAGTTTTACCACCTCAGACAACCTGAAAATCACCAATTAACCCACACCAGCCCCTCATTTTCCTCACAAAACCCCCTTACCCTGAGAAGCCACAGCCCACAGCCCCAGCATCCCAAAACCCCACTGCCAGGAACTTTCTGGAAGCAGCATCCAGAGGAGGACTGTTTACAGTGAGAGCACAGGCAGGGCAGGCTGAGGCCTGCAGCATCTCCTCAACAAAGGCAGGAAAACAAACACCACCACCCCCCCTCCTCAGCTCCAAAGTAAAAGAAATCCAGTTGATTTAACAAGTCCAGTCCCATCCTTTCAGCTTTTCCGAAAAATAACGGCACCAGGCTGACCTGGGAAGCCTCTCAGAGGCATTGCTGAAGCCTGATTTTAAATCAGTAATGCTGGCAACAAAAGAAAAGCACTTTCCATTTGCTTGCACGTAAGAGAAAAGGTCAAAAGAGACACATCAGGCGGCTCCTGATGTTTTCTGTGCCTTCCCTTTTCTTAGAATTTCTGTTTGGTTCAGGCAAAAAAAAGCTCCAGAGCTTTAGGATTTGGTTCTGAACGGTCTGACAGGAATCTCCAAGGTCCCCAAAACAACTCCTGTATAATTTAGTGAGCATTTGGCTTGTCACAAATTGCTAAGAACCTTCCAAGCAAGTTTTCAAATTAAGGAGGAGAGACTTAAGATGGAAAAAAATAGCAATTGAAAATATTGTTAGAAAACCTGACTGACTAAAAATATAAACCAAGGAGCAGCCAAGCTGGTCTCAGGGCTTATTCCTGGGGACCAGTGAAAATAACAGCTCCTCCATCACTTCTTGGTTTTAATAAACATGGGACACACTTTCCCTTGAGGCAAATTGTGCTGCAGCTTTTTATTTCAATTCCCTAATTTGCAACCCAAACACACTCCCAGCAGCAGAACACGCTGTGCCCTCCCAGGGCACTCCCACAACACCAGGGCCCTTCCCGGGGCTCAGCAAAGAGGAAGAGGGTGAGAGGAGGAAGTTTGTGCAGCAGATTCATTAAAAACCCCCAAAAATCCAGCTTTCTGGTGTCCCTTTAGGATCTGAAAGAACACACAAGGCTGTGAACTGCCCATTCCTGTCTCTTCCTGGCCCTGGCCTCCCAAACCCTTCCCAATCCCAGGGAACCTAAACTGGACTCCCACCTGGCAATAACCTGAGTGAATCACTAGAAAATCAGTTTTTATGGTCATTATTCCTCTTTCCTGTTCTCTGAAAGGCCAAGTCCTGAGTGTTGCTCAGGAGGGTGAAGGGGGTGATGCCCAACAGGATGAGTTTTAGAGCCTCACACGAATTTAAACAGCCCAAACACTTCCATGTGAGCCACCACAGCCATTCCAGAGGGAGCACTGACACCAGAAGTTAAATAAATCCTTACTGTCACTGGCCAAAGCCTGACTACATCCCAAAAAAGCCTGTTCTTTGCCTAAGTACAGCCTGCAGTGTGTGCTGCAGCCACAGCCCTGCCCTGGGCTGTTCCTGTTGGACTTGGAGCCACAGGATGGTCCTCCCACAGCTGGACCCCCTTTCCCAGGGCTGGATCCCCTCTCCCAGTGCTGAACCCCCTTTCCCAGTGCTGGATCCCCTTTCCCAGTGCTGAACCCCCTTTCCCAGTGCTGGATCCCCTCTCCTAGGGCTGAACCTCTTTTCCCAGTGCTGGATCCCCTTTTCCAGTGCTGAACCTCCTTCCCCAGTGCTGGATCCCCTCTCCCAGTTCTGGATCCCCTTTCCCAGTGCTGTTCCTGGGAGCACAACCTTTGCCAACACCTGGCTCTGCACAGGCAAAATGAGATAAAAGGGAGGGGGGGGGAAAAAGCCTCTCTGGAATTTTCAAGCTTCAGCTCTAGATGGAGCATTTCCCTCGTGGCAGCGTGTGCTGAGCAGGAAGGGTTTGCACCAAAGGCAAGGCAGGGATTTCCCACTCCCCTGGGCTAAATTTCCACCCCAAAATCTGAGTTTAGGCAATGTGGGAACCCTCAGGAGCTGTGGGTTTGAGGGGGAGATTTGTATTCCATCACTTCTCTTCCCTCCCCTCCCAGCTGAGTCAGCTGCTGGAGGAAAAGGGAACAGAACAACTGCTTAAGGTGTTCAAATTTCCCTCAAAAGGAGCCAAACAAGCCCCTTCCTGAAGTCCAGGAATTCTCCAGGTGGAGGGGAAGCTTGTAGGGTTTGATCCTCAGAGAACATCAGCTGAAAAGTCTCGATTCAGAGAGATTTCTGCTCTCCAGAGGGATTTATTCTGACAGAGAGCTGACTCCTGCTTGGCCTGTGTATCCTGGAGGGGCTGGAGCAGGGATGCAGACCCTCCCTCCTGGAGAGGCTGGAGCAGGGATGCAGACCCTCCCTCCACTCTATTTTGGAATAACAGGTTATCATGGCAGCTCTGAGCTCATCTGAAATTCTAAATCCATCAGGAATTTAAATATACAACCCCCTAAATCTCCCAGGTAAAGGGAAGGGGGGGCCTGGCTGGTCTTAGAGAGCAACTCCCACTTCCAGGAGATCCACACCTGGACATTCAAATGCTCTTTATTTACTCCTGTAATTCATGCTCATATATTAAAGAGTAAACCGTGACCACAGGTCTGATGGTGCCCAGTGATCCCTAATCCAGCTGCTCCCAAACCCAAACCCTTTTTTCTCTGGAACAAAACGACTGGGTGGCTCCAGGACAACTTTTCCTACAGCTCCAGGGAGGGAAGGAGGGTGGTAACTCTCTCCTGGGGTGTCCCAGGAGTCGGTGGAAGGTGTTGGGAAAAAAAGGCACCACCTCTGCCGTTCCCAGAGCCCTGGGAAGGTGTATCCACACAAAACTTGGATTTCCTTGACCACCCAAACCCCAGGCTGTCCAGCCAAAAAAAAAAAAGGCACTTGGCTTTAAGGAATTGCAGACATCTCTGCTCCAAAAAAAGAAAAAAAAAAAAAGGGATGCTCAGGAAAACCAGCTTAGGATTGAAGGAGAGGAACCGCACGTCCCTCAGGACACGTGGATGTCTGGCCCTGGCAGCACCCTGGGATTTATGGAGCGTGAAAGGCAGGGAGAGGGAGAGAGAGAGAGGCTGAAGGCTCCTCAAGGAGAGGCAGGTGGAGGAAGGATAAATCCAGCCTGGCTCTGTGCCCAGAGAGCAACATCAACAATCCTGCCCAGGTACTTGAAGGTCTGATCTTTTGCTTGGCCACTTCCTGAGCTGGGTTGTTTGGTTTGGGGTTTTTTGTTGGTTTTTTTTGGTTTTTTTAATGGATGAAAAGAAAATGAAGCTTTTTGCCTAAATAAAAAGCTGAACATTATTATTATTCCTCCAGCAAATCTCCTCTTAAGGGAGAAGGAAAAATATAAACAGCAGCCATTTCCTGTGACCCCTCGGGGACTGGGATCCGTAGGAAGCACTGAGGGACGTAAATATTTCTAAGAAAGGAGTTTTGGAAGTTCACAAAACCTCCCTGCTGCCAAGTTTTGTCTGGATACTCTTAATTGAAAGGAAGAAGACCCACAGATAACCCACAGTGACACCGGCTCTCACGTGGAGGAATTTTCCTGATCTGTGTAAAAGGATGTTAAGTATTTAAATTTTAACTGGAGAGGGTATTTGCTCTTCATCTTTTCCTCAGGAAGAATTCCTGAGTGGTTTCTGTAGCCAGATATCCCACTGTGTGTCCTGGCATTGCCTTGCCTTGGGAGGGATTTAATTCCCACTGATATTGGGAATGTCTATAATGTCTCTCCTACAAACCCAAAAAACACCGGGAAGGAAATCTGCTTTCTAAGTCTCCCAAATATTCAGCCCAAATATACATTAAATAAACATGAACTAAATGATGTCTCAACAGTTTTCAGCATCAGACGCTCCTCTGGAGGAAGTTCCAGCTCCAGGAGCACTCGTTGGGATAGTTTATAGCCTGTCAGGGAACAGTGTCTGCACTGGAACCCCAAAGCAGCACGGAATGTGCAAAGCTGGGGTCAGGATGCTGTTTATCCCTTAGGAAATGCTGGGATAACGGGCTGGAGTCACCCAGAATGTCCTGGCATGGCTGTCAGCGCTCAGGATGGTATCCATGGGGGGATTCTGGGCATGTGGAGATGCCAAGTTGCTCCTGTGGGAGCTCTGGCACTGGAGGGACACCTCAAGGGCTCCCAGCCCGGGCTCAGCCAGGATGAGGCAGCGTTTTCCAGGCCAGAGTGAGCAGGATCAAACCTGGACCTGCCCCTTCCACTGTGGGATGCACACAGGGAGAGGGAACAGGATGAGAACAGGCACATGGCACTGCCACTGGACTGCCAGGGAAGGGAAGTGCTGAGGATGGGGGTTGTGGAGAGCAGCTGAGGACACTGCTCCTTGGGAGCCCAGCATGTCCTGAGCCCCCAAACCCTTCCCTGAAAACTGAACTGCTCCATCTGTCCACGTTTATGTGGGGCTGCCCCAGCCCTGGGAGTGCCCAAGGCCAGGCTGGACGGGGCTTGAAGTGACCTGGGCCAGTGGAAGGTGTCCCTGCCCACGGCAGGGGGTGGACTAGTTAATGTTTAAGGTCCCTTCCAACCCAAACCATGCCAGGAAGGACAATGACCTGCTGGAGCGAGTCCAGAGGAGGCCACAGAGATATTTCAAGGGCTGGAAAACTTCTCCTGTGAGGAAGGGCTGAGTTGGGATTGTTCACCTGGACAACAGAAGGCTCTGGGGAGACTTTAGAGCACCTTCCAGGGCCTGAAGGGGCTCCAGGAGAGCTGGAGAGGGACTGGGGACAAGGGAAAGAGGGACAGGACACAGGGAATGGCTTCCCACTGACAAAGGGGAAGGAATTCTTGGCTGTGAGGGTGGGGAGGCCCTGGCACAGGTTGCCCAGGGAAGCTGTGGCTGCCCCTGGATCCCTGGGAGTGTCCAAGGGCAGGTTGGATAAACTTAAGTCTCTCCCAACCCAAACCATTCCATGATGGACACAGACCTGCTGGAGTGATCCAGAGGAGGCCATGGAGATGCTCCAAGGGCTGGAGCACTTCTCCTGTGAGGGAAGGCTGAGAGAGCTGGGATTGTTGTGCCTGGAGAAGGCTCTGGGAAGACTTTAGTGCCCTTTCCAGTGCCTAAAGATGCTCCAGGAGAGCTGGAGAGGGACAAGGAGTGACAGGACAAGGGGGAATGGCTTCCCACTGCCAGAGGGCAGGCTCAGATGGGATACTGGGAAGAAAT